CCGCCGCCGCCGCCGAGTGCAGGCAGTGCAGAGGGTAATGCGCGCCTGCCATGGCCGGGGAGCTCTGCTGCGAGTGCGGCTGTGGCGGCGGCGGCGGCGGCGGCGGCGGCTGCTGTTGCTGCTGCTGCTGCTGCTGCTGCTGCTGTTGCTGCTGCTGCTGCTGCCCGAACTCCATGAAGGCGGATTTGGACGAGTCCTGGCCTTCCAAGCCGTCAGCCATCGTAGTCATGGTCATCATCAAAACTTTGGGGGCTGGAGAAAGCCTTCTCCCGGGTTTCCTCCACCCTCCCCCCACTTGGCTCGCGCCGCTGTCCCCTCTGCAGCCACCTTAGCTCTTGGGATTCTTGCAAAAAAAAAAATAATAATAAATAAATAAAAAAATTTTAAAAGAGGGGGTGGAGGTTGTTCGCCCTCTCCCTCACTCTTCTCTAATATATATATTTTTTAATATAAAGAGATATAGTGAGCAGGGCCTTGTTAACTCAAAGGGAGGAGGAAGGGGGAGGGATGGGAGAGGAGAGGGGGGAGGGGGGAATCTGCTCTCCCCCCCTTCTTTCCCCCCTTGGATTTTTTGGGGGCTGGTGCAGTTTAAGGCAGAGATTTTAAGGTGGATTCTGCGAAAGTTGCGCGTCTGCTTTCAGACTTGATGCAGACGCCACGAGTCGAATGGTTTGTCTCCAAAGGGCAGCGCCTCCCCATTGGTCAGTCGCCCGCTGACGTCACAGGCGCACGGCTTCTACTGGTGTGCGCGCGGCTCGCGGAGTTCTTCGCCTACCTTCGGCAACTCCAATCCCAGCCTCGAGCTGCAACCGGGGGCCGCGCGGCTCCGCGCGCAGGGCTGCCGGGGAGGGAGGTGCCTCTGCCCGGCGGGCCGCCGACGCCTCCCGCCGCAGATCGCGCCCCCGAACCCGGAGCCTCAGGTCCCAGTACCGCAGCCTTGGAACAGCCCGGCCGGAGGCCGCTCTCTCTCAGTCCCCTTGCACCCCAGCAGGCTGCCTGTTCTCAGAAGCAGTGCCCTCTGCATTTAAAGCGAGGCCCCCCTCCCTTGACCTCCTCTCCACACCCCCCTCCCTCAGTCCCAGTGTAGTCCCGCGGGAGCGCCCTGTCACCGTGTATTTTTCTAGACATACTTTATTGAAACCACAGAGGGAAGAAGACCCCCACACCTGGGCCCCATCCCTTGGTTGGGCGGGGGTGTAAAGAAAAAGAAAAAGAAAAATCAGACCCTGTTTTGGCGGGGTTCCTGACGTTTCAGGCCGTAGTTCCTATATATTGAACAAGAAAGGGGGAGAATATTTTTCCCCCCAGAACGCAGCAGCCTGTTCTGAAAGCGAATCGTTGGAGGACTGACAGTAATGCATTTTTTCCTATTGAAAACAGAAGCTACTGTAATGCTTTCAAATATATGCAAATGATACATGCGGTTAGTGGCTTGGCAAATCTTGATTACAATATAAACTACCCAAGTAAAAGTGCGTTCGTCCTAAATTTGTCTCTCGATTACAATTCCAATTGATTTTATTTTATTGTCAACATTGTTAATGATAAAAATAGAGTCGTTTTACAGTTATTTTTACTTTCTGGAAGGAGGCAATTAGGGTTCTAATCAGGAATACACAAAAATCTCCCATGATTAACTGCAGTACTTTGTTCAAATTGCTGCTATAAAATTCAGAACAATTTGCCTGTAATGATTATGGACTGGGTTTATTTTGGGAGGTGGAATAAAAGTGGATATAGCATAAATTATCCTCTAATTATACACCAGTGTCGCCTCAATTATCCTCTTATCAAAATGGATGTCTAACTGCCGCATTTAGTTTCAATTCTCTCCTTTTTTTCTATAAAAAGAACTTCATACCTTGTTATTATTAATCCATTTATTATTTGCAAGGGGATTTATATCCGCACATCCAGGTGGTAGAACCACTTCTCTTTCAAAGATGGACTGGGGAAAGACATTAAGTTCAGAGCAGCCCAGGGCTGCGGATCTAGCCTTTCTCCCTCTAGTCTCCAGACCCACTCAGATCCAGGCAGCCAGCAGAGACAGCGGAGTCCTGGAGCGCAGCTCAGGCCCGGCCACCAGGTAGGAGAGCCGGACCCGGGACCAGGCGCCGAAGAGGGCAGGCCGGGGCCGCGCCAGGAGTCGGGTCCCGGGACTGCGGGGAGGCGCAGGAAGTCTTCACCGTCAGTGGGTCGGGACTGGGTGGGCACGACCTGCAGACCCCCATGGGCTCGGCGCCAGCGTTCAGTCCGCGACTAGACCCAAGCCGCGAGCCTCTGACCACACGGAGAGATGTACAATCTAACATCTCCAGGTCAACGTGTCTAGAGGTTGCAGGGACGAGTCTGGGTCTTTCTTTGGGGAAACTACTGGGACTTGTATGCACCCTGTTCTCGTGGACTCCGTAAGTTATGCGACCTAAGGAATCCGAGAAATGGACAGTTTATTGGTTCCGCTCGCCCCCGGAACTCCAGGAAAGGTGGCTGCAGAAGTAGCAGCTTGGACTCTATTTACATACTGTGCGAAGCTCTGCAGCGGCGGCTTATGCTAATTGATTTTCCCAGCTCCCAGCCCGGGGTCTCCAGGCGTCGCCAGGCTAGTTTGCCTTTTTCTTTTTCTTTCCTTCCTTCCTCCCTTTTATCACAGAACCTGAAGCTCGCTGCCCGTGGGTTTTCTCCAGGGTTCTCAGGGCAGCAGCGTATTACTCTCCTCTCCCCTCCCTTCCCCAGCCCGCCGCGCTTAACTTCTTGAGCCTCGGGAGCCGGTTCAGTAACTCTGAATTCATTTTTAAGTGGCGTGCCTTGTTCCCCTTCTTTTAACAAGAGGTGCACTTTAACACGCGAACCAGTAACCCGATCCACGCGTTTACAAATCGGCAGTGAATTAAAACAACAACAAAAAAAGCTTCAAGGAAAATGAAAGGTGGGCTGGGTAAGGGGGAGATGTGTGTAGGGTGTGTGTATGGGGGGGCAGAGGGGAGGTCAGAAGAAGAAAAGGTCCCCCCCCCTTCCCCAGCGGGCTCTCGGTGCACCCGGGCTTCGCGCCGAGCTTGTTTGTAATGTCCTCAAAGCTAGCAGGTAGACGTGGCAGTTTTATTGCTTTATACCCTGCAGCTTGCTGTTAACACGGTGAAGGCGTTTCTCTCCCCCCGCCCCCCAACCCCGTGCATGTCTCTCTTTCTCTCTTTATGCTCGCAGGTGCACCGCTTTCCTCGCTGGCTTCCCCAACTCTGGCCGCACCCGGAGCGGGTGGGGGTCGTGGCGGGACCGGAGAAGGTCCCCGCACTGAACACCAGATCCAGGGCTCAGCAGCCCCTATTTGCAATGGGTTCCCCCCCCTTGTTAATTCCCAAGAAAGCCTGAAGGGCTGGAATTGTCGGGGTTGTAGCTGCAGGGCTCTCATCCCACTCCCATTAGAGGACAAACCCCTAGCACTGTGTTCCAGAGGAGCAAGTGTGCAGCTACACCGAGGTAGCAGTTGTCGCCAATGGGCAAGGTCCTGCTGAGCCAGACTGAGCTCAGTCAGTCAGGGGCTGGGGAGCGGAGCGGAGCGGGCGAGGGGTCCCTCCCGCCTTGGTTGAGTACTCCGTCCGAGTGGCTGGATAGAATCCCCCACTGCTTGAGCGTCCGGCTTTCGGGCGGGTCCCGGGAATAGCCGGCCAGAGAGCTAGTCCGGCCCCACACAGTGTGCCAAGGTGGCGCGCAGCGAGTGGCTGCCACGTGTGGCCTCTGCCACCAGCCTCCTCCGCTCGAGGAGTTCGGTACGCAGTGGCTGTGTGCCGCAGGGGCCGCTCCCCGCAGGCGTTTCTCTCCCGCTGAACCCTTCATCTCGGCTGCTGAGTCCTTCGCCGCGTGTCGTGGGCGGCGGTCATGAGCCGAGGCGAGTCACCCCTAGTTTGTTCTAGTCCAGCGCGCACCTCCGGCGCTTGTGAGAGGCAAGAACCCTCGGATTCTTCAGGGCCTCGCAGCGAAGGCGCACGCTTCAGGGGCTCCAGCCGCCCGCCGGGCCCTGGCTCCTACCTCTTTGTCTTGCCGGCTGGGGATCCCCGGCCAGCCCTTGGAGGTGGGAGGAGGTGGGCAGGCCAGTCCCGCGCCGTCTTTATCATTCAAAACAGAAGTCAAGCCGGCAATCTGGAGGAGTAGAAGGCCGAATGCTCTTTTAGATCCTGTAATAGGTGAGGGTCATATTCACTAAGGAGTGTTAGAAGGCCGACTTTGAGGCCTAAACTGCTTTTTGCTTTTACAGGAGTCGAGGTTTGGGGGCTTGTATTCTAGCTGTCAATGTTATTTAGAGAAAAATAACGATTGTCAATATAAGGCTGTGTGGGTCAAGGCGCCAAAGGCCGCTGTGGGAGGGATGGGGTCTCTGCCACGGAAATTCCCCTGCTGTTTTATCCCTGGAGGGGTGTTAGCCCGCTCCCTTTGACCAGGGAATGGGTTAGGTGCTGACGAGGGTTTGCAGCCCCTGCGCCCTGTAGAGGTGCATTCAACCCGGGCAGGGCCTGGTTGGGTTTGGTTGCTAAGTTGGGCTCAGTTATCACGTTAATTCTAAGGAAATTAGACCTCAATAAATAGCCTTTGAATTCAAAGAAATAACTCGGTATTGATTTACATAGCCATGCTAAGAACCCCCTTCTCAAGCGGAGACATTGGTGGAAAAAAATTCCTGCTAGTCTTTTCCCCATTCAATGTAAAATTCTGTTTGTGTACTTGTGTAGGGAAAGGGTGCTTTATATCCTGGAAACCCAGGCACTCTTTTCCCTTCCCCAACCCACACACCTGGGAAAGCTTGGGAGTGGAGCAAGAGAGCTGCCTCTTTCCCTTTCTTAGCCCAAGTCAGTGATGTTATGTTCAGGGGTAGGCAAAAGTATCAGACTATGCAAGAAAGCACTAAGATTGTGGCATTATTTTCTCTAGTTACAAAACATAATGTCCATATTAACACCCTCCCCTCCCAGGCTCCCCAAAGGCGAGCTAAAGAGTGGGCCCTGTTTACTCCACACCCAGAAAGAAGGTCACTAAAGTCTGGAAACAACATCTGCCTCATCTCTCCAGTCCAGAGTCCCAAGAACAGGTGGCTAGGATGCTCCAACGTGGATAGCACTGGCCCACCAGGGTCAGTGATGCTCACTGGGAGCTTCACAGACTTTTTCTAGACTGTTCAATTTGGAGAATATTAATTAAACATGTTCTAGCCTAGAGGCTCCTGCTCTAGGTCTTTTCAAACTTGGGCTCCAGGGAAGTTACAAAAGCAAAGCCAACCAGGTTCTCAAATTCAACACCTTTGCCTCTCCTGGACCCCATTCCCAGACTGTGAGACCATCCAAAGCTTTCGTAACAGAGGGAGCCAATACGCTGGGCCTAC